CTTACGTTTTTTTTTTTGGGCGAAAAATTAAGTTTCTCCAATCTTCCCAAAACTCTGGATTCTGATAGAGGGCCATGAGACTTAGACCTGAGTGCAAAAATGGAGGCTCTAGCCCCTTCCAGAGCTGAGATATCGAAACTCAAAAATTCGGCCCGAAAAAAAACGACAGTGGTACCCCTTACGTTTTTTTTTTTGGGCGAAAAATTAAGTTTCTCCAATCTTCTCAAAACTCTGGATTCTGATAGAGGGCCATGAGACTTAGACCTGAGTGCAAAAATGGAGGCTCTAGCCCCTTCCAGAGCTGAGATATCGAAACTCAAAAATTCGGCCCGAAAAAAAAACGACAGTGGTACCCCTTACGTTTTTTTTTTTTGGGCGAAAAAATAAGTTTCTCCAATCTTCTCAAAACTCTGGATTCTGATAGAGGGCCATGAGACTTAGACCTGAGTGCAAAAATGGAGGCTCTAGCCCCTTCCAGAGCTGAGATATCGAAACTCAAAAATTCGGCCCGAAAAAAAAACGACAGTGGTACCCCTTACGTTTTTTTTTTTTGGGCGAAAAATTAAGTTTCTCCAATCTTCTCAAACTCTGGATTCTGATAGAGGCCATGAGACTTAGACCTGAGTGCAAAAATGGAGGCTCTAGCCCTTCCAGAGCTGAGATATCGAAACTCAAAAATTCGGCCCGAAAAAAAAAAAACGACAGTGGTACCCCTTACGTTTTTTTTTTGGGGCGAAAAATTAAGTTTCTCCAATCTTCCCAAAACTCTGGATTCTGATAGAGGGCCATGAGACTTAGACCTGAGTGCAAAAATGGAGGCTCTAGCCCCTTCCAGAGCTGAGATATCGAAACTCAAAAATTCGGCCCGAAAAAAAAAACGACAGTGGTACCCCTTACGTTTTTTTTTTTGGGGCGAAAAATTAAGTTTCTCCAATCTTCCCAAAACTCTGGATTCTGATAGAGGGCCATGAGACTTAGACCTGAGTGCAAAAATGGAGGCTCTAGCCCCTTCCAGAGCTGAGATATCGAAACTCAAAAATTCGGCCCGAAAAAAAAACGACAGTGGTACCCCTTACGTTTTTTTTTTTGGGCGAAAAATTAAGTTTCTCCAATCTTCCCAAAACTCTGGATTATGATAGAGGACAGTGAGACTTTGATTTGAGTGCAAAAATGGAGGCTCTAGCCCCTTCCAGAGCTGAGATATCGAAACTCAAAAATTCGGCCCGAAAAAAAAACGACAGTGGTACCCCTTACGTTTTTTTTTTTTGGGCGAAAAATTAAGTTTCTCCAATCTTCCCAAAACTCTGGATTCTGATAGAGGGCCATGAGACTTAGACCTGAGTGCAAAAATGGAGGCTCTAGCCCCTTCCAGAGCTGAGATATCGAAACTCAAAAATTCGGCCCGAAAAAAAAAACGACAGTGGTACCCCTTACGTTTTTTTTTTGGGCGAAAAATTAAGTTTCTCCAATCTTCCCAAAACTCTGGATTGATAGAGGGCCATGAGACTTAGACCTGAGTGCAAAAATGGAGGCTCTAGCCCCTTCCAGAGCTGAGATATCGAAACTCAAAAATTCGGCCCGAAAAAAAAACGACAGTGGTACCCCTTACGTTTTTTTTTTTGGGCGAAAAATTAAGTTTCTCCAATCTTCCCAAAACTCTGGATTCTGATAGAGGGCCATGAGACTTAGACCTGAGTGCAAAAATGGAGGCTCTAGCCCCTTCCAGAGCTGAGATATCGAAACTCAAAATTCGGCCCGAAAAAAAAACGACAGTGGTACCCCTTACGTTTTTTTTTTTTGGCGAAAAATTAAGTTTCTCCAATCTTCTCAAAACTCTGGATTCTGATAGAGGGCCATGAGACTTAGACCTGAGTGCAAAAATGGAGGCTCTAGCCCCTTCCAGAGCTGAGATATCGAAACTCAAAAATTCGGCCCGAAAAAAAAAACGACAGTGGTACCCCTTACGTTTTTTTTTTTGGGGCGAAAAATTAAGTTTCTCCAATCTTCTCAAAACTCTGGATTCTGATAGAGGGCCATGAGACTTAGACCTGAGTGCAAAAATGGAGGCTCTAGCCCCTTCCAGAGCTGAGATATCGAAACTCAAAAATTCGGCCCGAAAAAAAAAAACGACAGTGGTACCCCTTACGTTTTTTTTTTTGGGCGAAAAATTAAGTTTCTCCAATCTTCTCAAAACTCTGGATTCTGATAGAGGGCCATGAGACTTAGACCTGAGTGCAAAAATGGAGGCTCTAGCCCCTTCCAGAGCTGAGATATCGAAACTCAAAAAATCGGCCCGAAAAAAAAACGACAGTGGTACCCCTTACGTTTTTTTTTTTTTGGCGAAAAATTAAGTTTCTCCAATCTTCCCAAAACTCTGGATTATGATAGAGGGCCATGAGACTTAGACCTGAGTGCAAAAATGGAGGCTCTAGCCCCTTCCAGAGCTGAGATATCGAAACTCAAAAATTTCGGCCGAAAAAAAAACGACAGTGGTACCCCCTTACGTTTTTTTTTTTTGGGCGAAAAATTAAGTTTCTCCAATCTTCCCAAAACTCTGGATTCTGATAGGGGCATGAGACTTAGACCTGAGTGCAAAAATGGAGGCTCTAGCCCCTTCCAGAGCTGAGATATCGAAACTCAAAAATTCGGCCCGAAAAAAAAAAACGACAGTGGTACCCCTTACGTTTTTTTTTTTGGGCGAAAAATTAAGTTTCTCCCAATCTTCCCAAAACTCTGGATTTATGATAGAGGGCCATGAGACTTAGACCTGAGTGCAAAAATGGAGGCTCTAGCCCCTTCCAGAGCTGAGATATCGAAACTCAAAAATTCGGCCCAAAAAAAAACGACAGTGGTACCCCTTACGTTTTTTTTTTTGGGGCGAAAAATTAAGTTTCTCCAATCTTCCCAAAACTCTGGATTCTGATAGAGGGCCATGAGACTTAGACTGAGTGCAAAAATGGAGGCCTCTAGCCCTTCCAGAGCTGAGATT